AGCAATCACACAACAATCACAGAATGCACATGCGGAATAGATAAATCACACATAACATAACCAAGGACATTCCACAATGAAGTCTTTTCTCATGTAACCAAAACCTAAACCGCGAATTGACAACTTCCTTCCATTGTCTCTTTTACCTCACACGGCCCTAACCACAAAGGGTAAAAGGCCAGTGATCTGACATGTAATACACCGGTCCTAGGCTGCAATCCCGTTCCTCCGGATATTATAATCGGTAGTCACGACCCTAGTCTGCAATCCCGTTCCTCCTTGACTAGCGATATCTAGAAGTGTCAACCGCTCTCTACAATTGTTAGAACGTTACATGATCCTCTTGATCACTTGTAACGCCTAACCTCACACACAACATAAAATTTACCTTTGACCCGCATGTATCTACACAGATCACACGCGAATAAGCTTCCTTTTGAAATCCTGCATCCACAAAGGTTAGCGGCAAATACAAACACAATCATGCCATAACTCATGCAGCACGCAATCAAACATCATGCACAAATAATCAAAGATACTTACCCAAATTCCAAAAATTCTAGCAAGAACCTCTACGACTATAAAGCATAAGAATAAACAAGCAACGTGTGCCCTACTCATCTTGCACACGATAAACATCACCAAGACTCACCTTATTCAAACGGTTAGGACTTAGACTTGAATTTAGGCTTAGAACGGATCTAGGTTCCTCGACTACTTCACGATCTAACAAATCTTCCCTTTCCTTAAAACAGACAGAATTTCGGCTTGAATCTCGATCATTCCAACCATCAAAACCACAAAAGGTTGGATTCAAGATCACAAGACGAAACTAAGTCAGATAGAAAAGTTAGGATCAGAACGCCTTACCCTAAAAATTTTACGGCACTACTGGATGGTTCCCGACAACAGACCGCGGATTGGATCACAATCACGAACTATTTTGGTCAGAGGTTTGGAACGTTTTCTATGTAAGAAATGAGAGCTACTTGGTCCTATTTATAGGGTTAAGCAAGCAGGTAGGCACAGTAGGACAGTCAGAAGTGTGTGTCGTGCTTCCCGATGAGTCATTGCACATGGTTGCGATACCTCGTGCTTGTGGATTTGTCGTTCTTGCGGATTTATCATGCTTGTGGATTTGTCGTGCTTCCGATGACTCGTCACACAAGATCGCGACACCTCGTGCTTACAAGATTTGTCGTGCTTGCGGATTTGTCGTGCTTGTGGATTTGTCGTGCTTCCGATGACTCGTCACACAAGATCGCGACACCTCTTGCTTACGGGATTTATCGTGCTTGCAGATTTGTCGTGCTTGCAGATTCCAAGCATGTCAATCCCGAGTAGATGTGTCGCGGTTCTGCAAACTTTTATATTTATGTTAAAATATCAAGTTTGAAAGCACCTTTCCACCTCATGCTTCTCGTCTCGTCGTATTTCGGGCCACCTCGTGCTTAAAATCCCGTCATGCTTGACAATTTTTCTTCCATAACTAGGTCTTGGCTCGATCATCTCTCGTAACTGTTTTGATCTCTTGACAGGGTCATTACACTCTACCCCCCTTAAAAAGAGTTCTAACCGTATGCAAGTGTGAGTTGGGGCATAAACACTCTACGTTGTTCTTTTCCAGTCTCACCAATCAACGAGTCACCCTTGTGGCCTAGGTCCGGCCAACTTTCTTGGAGGCTACAATCGAATCTCATGCCCAGATTACCATTGACATGTATATCCTAACTGCAACCCTTCGTGATGCTAGACTGATTTGCCTGCCAAAGCCTCTCGGATGCTTTGCCATTGCACCGTTGGTCGAGCCTCAGCTTGCCAGTCCGGTCAGGTTTTTTTGGATCAAGGCTCCCTTGATGTCTCTACGAAGGTTTTAGCCATCTGCGGCACAGCTCTATCGGGTCGTGTATTGAGTCCTACCGTGGGGCGACACGATCACTCAGCGGGACGCGGCATGAGGCACTACCGATACACCTTGGCTGTCAATCGATGTGCCTATCGATACTATACCAAGGCACCACCGATGCTCACTTCTAGGCTCTAATGTGGCTCTATCAAGGCGTCACTGATGCCCTATCAAGATGCGACATGATACTCTTCCGTTATATGGCACGACGCATATTGAGGCGCGACCATAAGCATGTTGTCACTGGGGTTCTGTCAAGGCGTCATTGAGGCACCCTGAAGCCATACCGATGCTCTCTTTCCTACACTGAGGCATAATGTTAACGATGCCAGACCGGGTGCCTACCGATATGCGGCTCGATCACTCAACGTCCCCATATCGAAGCCCCTCGCTATCCGAGAGAGTCTTCTCGTGCTCGACCTTAGTCGAGTGGAACTCGGCCACTGCCCTACCCTTATCGAGATTTTCGTCCGAATCTCTTATCCGGATCGAGTTCTCTCGATCACTACTCCACCATATGACCCTATAACTACTAAAACAACCTATGAAAGTAATAATAGAAAAGACTAGAAAGGAAGAGATAGGTACGGATCGCGCCTTGCTTATAGTGTGAAGTTTCTCCTCGGGGTTGTGGTGATGAAATCTTTCTCAAGCTCCTCCTAATTCTCTTTCTCCAAAGCGGTTCCATTTGGCTCTCGAAGAAGGGAATGATTTTGGTGTGTAAATTATAAGCTCTCTAGCCCCCTATTTATGTACCACCAAATTCCTCCTAGAAAATATTCACTTTCAGTAGTTTTATCCACCTCCTTACTACATGGGCCAAAGCCCGCTTAGCCTCCTTCTTCTCCAAGTTTTCTTCCTTCTTTTCTAAGATGAACTAAGGTTTCCTTTCCCTTTTAGTTTCAGCGACCCGTTTACCATTTCGCGCTCCGGTCCACGGGTCTCCTTCCCCATGGAACAATGTCATCCTAACTACTATTTCTCACCATCCCAAACCTCTATTAAATATATTCTAAGTCATTTAAATTCCTATACCTGGTTTTGGGATGTCACACTAGACCCTCAAACGAAATCAAGGCTTAGCACAAGACTCATCGTCGTCTAATATATTCCGTCACCACCACGAGATGATGCCCAACACTCCAGTGAGACACAACATCACCTTCAACAAGCACTGGATCTAGCAGATCTAACTCAAGAGTAACAACCAAAGAAAAAATAAGAACCGAGAAGACTGAAACTAGATAGAGCAACAAGAACGATGATCGGCATCGGCGCTAAAAGCTGGTCCAAGCAACAAAGGTGACGACTAGACTTGAGAAAAAGTTTCGAGAGAAAGTTAGGGTTTGAGGGGGTTTTTAAAAACGACAACCACAAAAAATTATGTAATAAAAATAGTTATATAACAATAAATCAAAACTGAATTTTTTTTAAAGAAAGCTATAGATATCTTATATTTTGAATAAATCTCCAAACCATTTTATGTTATACAAAACACGAAATATGTAGAATTGTCTGTA